GGCTGGGCGTTTTTTGCAAGCAGGCCCCCATGCAGAGACTGAGGGAGGCCAGCGTTGCGTTTTCTGGCAGTAATCTGAGTAAGAAAAGATGTGTTTATAGAGATTCCCCGTTGATCGGGGGGGGGGGGGGGGGGGGGTCCCCGTAGTTTATATGGAGTACTCTTGCCAATAACATCTGGTAACCCCAGCAGCATTCTGTTTAATAAGCTCCGTCTCTGCTGATGAGACCCAGAAGGTTGAAACTCAATCCAGCATTTTGCTGGTTTTAACAAATGCCCGCTGCTCGATAAGACCACAAGAAAAAGCCAACAGGCTGATGGCCTTAAATATATTTGTACGTGGAGACAGAACGGAGTTGGAGTCAGATTATGCAGTTATATGCCTTCGCCCACAGTAATGCACGGCAATGCATAAGGAATTCGAGTACATTTTGAGTTAAAGCTTTCGTGACTGCACGGATTCATCTTCTTGGTTCTTTCGGTAAAGTCACGTAGAAGGGAAGTAATAAAATAATAAAAATAAAACATAATATTTTTTTAATTAAAATCATAAAAATAAAACATATTTTTTTTATTATGTTATTTTTTTATTTCCCTTCTACGTGACTTTACCGAACCAAGAAGAGGAATTCGAGTACAGTTAAAATGCATGTTTATTCACGTTCACGCAAGATTGTGTGCTGATTACAGATGAAAACGCAGTGGGTATTTTTATTATTATTAATCTTTTGATTCTTTTTTTTCCCTTCGATAACTGGTTGAAATTAAATGATCCCCCCCTGTCAGCGCAAATGAATGAATTGTCACAATTCAGGGGGGTAACTGCCATGGTTAATAAGAGACCCATAAGTCAACAGCATCGCCCAAACACACCCCAATCACTCGCGTCGGATCCTAGAAGCTAAGCAGGCGGGTTTCGAGCCCGGACAGTGCACGGATGGTTAGCCACCATGCACAAAACAGAGTCGTTATAGGCTGATGCGGATGCTGCATTGCGGTCAGCAGAATACCGTGGAGCAAATCACATTGTTGGACTCTGCTTCCGCGGCCTCACATCTATGCTTCCCCGCCCTTTGGGAGGCAGGAAGTGTGGGGGGGGGGGCGGACGCCTCTTTTTAAAACTATAAAAACAATTTATTTTATTTTACCAGGTAAGGCCCACTGAGCAACGTAGCTCTTTTTTCAGAAACAACCAGACCACAAATGATCGCTCAACGAAGTGGCTTGTCACGTGGAAATTTATAGCAGCCAAATATTTAAAACCCCGTTGATGTTGATTCGAAAAGTGCCGGTAAAATCCGGAAGACTCGGAGAGAACATTCAAAGGACAAATATACAGGTGTAAGGGTTTGGATCGAACCCACGACCTCCCGCATACCTGGCGAGGCAGTTAACATCTCACCCCCGAGCAGTCGATGGCAAAAAACAACAATAGTCGTCGATGACAATCTCTCATCGATCAATCGACTTCACCGAGTGATCGTGCCAGCTCCAAGCGGGGACGGCTCTCGCTTGTTTGGCCGTGGCGCATCGCAGCGTTTGATCGGCAAGCGTGAATTTTTGGACGTTTACAAAAAATATATATATAGTAGACGCCTCCCGTCGCCACTCGAGGCTCGCGTCTAAGGCAGCTGCTCGTAAGCCCGGGGTCGTGACCCCCTCTGGGCACCCACCCCGATGTTCCCGCTTGCCTGGGTCGCGCTGTCAAAGGTTCTCAGTCACCGGTTTAAGGGGGCGGGTTGAGGTTATACTCCACCGATCTGGTTAAACCCGTCTTTGCGACAGGTATCGGCAGGCGAAATTTGTGTTTGGACTCCGTGTTTGCAGTCGCACCGCAGTGTGAATTAAACGCAGAGCGCATGGCTTAATGATTCGGTTGCTTTGAGCGCAGCATTTGAGTGCGACAGACTCATTGTAGGAAGGTTAAGGTTACGAGATCAAATTCCTGTCGAGGGGGTCGCCTCCGTCATTCATCCCGCTGAGATTGGTCACGTGAAGACTATTCTGTGGAGAACAACGCACCCTTTGCCCCCTATATATATTTTAAATCAGAAGTTGGGAGATTCGTCTCATGATCCGGCAGATGTGTGTCTGTGTGTGTGACCGGATGTTGTTTAACTCGATTGAAACCGAGCATAGGTTTTTTTGGGGGGGTGCGTCTTATAATCCGGAGAATTCGGTAACCACCACTTTTGTAGGGGCATCAACAGGGGTTGTGATATACGCAAAAGGACTTCACCCCTGCCATAGGACTGTAGAATTTCCACCACTGGCTGAGAGTCCGCAAGCGGGACATGGGCGCCGCACCCGCGCTCAATAAAGCAGAAAACCACTCCGGCTTAACGGTTTTAATAATTTAATTGTCAGCGGCGGCCGTTGGCAGGAGACGCTTTGATTCTCGAAGTGGGGCTGAAGATGATGATGATGATGATGCTGCTGCTGCTGCTGCCGCCGCGTAGAGCGAGCGGGCGAGAGACGGATGGCTGCGCGGTGTCGGGGCAGGCCTCGCCGCCGTGAGTGATGCGGTCACTAAGGGGAGCAAATGTCAAACGAGCGGCGAGGACCGCGCGTGTAAATTTTAAAAACTCCGCAACGGCGTGCCGCTGGCACACGTCCCGCTCCGCGGCGCGGCGCTCCGTAGCCGAACTCTCGCCGATCGTCGCCGTTGTATTTTTCACGTCGGATATTGTCCTCTTGTTGTGGAGTGGCGGTGCGATGGTTTAGCGCTCTGCGCTGTGAACTCGGAGAGACCGAGTTCGATTCCACCCCCCCCCCCCCCCCCCCGGGGAACGCCTAAAATCAGACCGCCCCTGACCCCTTTGTCAGTCCGCACTCACCAGCGCGGTGAAGTATGGTCAAACAACCGCTATTAGTGGCACGGCATGGGGAAGCCTTTGCACAGCGATGGACTGACAAAGGGCTGTAAATTCTACATTCATGTAATAATGTCATAAAGAAGGGCCATGACCCAAAACGTCGCCTATTATTGCTATATATTTTTAAAATTACAGTGTTATTGACGAATGCATTGATTTGTTGTTGTTGTTGTTCACTGCGCTTCGGCACCACTGCCAAAGCAAATCCTTGCGCGAGAACAGCCGAGTGCTTCCCGTTTGGTTTTGGCAAGTTTCAAAAGCGCGAATGATGATCGCGAGCTGGTGAACGTCGGCGGCGATCACGGTGTCTGTTGCGTGTGCGCCGTGTGTGTGTGTGTCTGTGTGTGTGTGTGTGTGCGTCTGGTGCTGTATGTAAGCATCGCCACTCTGGAGATAAAGGCGGCCGGGGGTGGTGCTGGCCACCCGCTCCCTCGTGTACCGTGCCGGCCTTCGTAGGTGCTCGCTAACAGCGCTTGCACCATTAGTCTGTTAAGGCTTTATGGGGGATCGTTGTCGTGTTGTGTATCTGTGTGTCTGTATGTCTATGTCTTTGTTTTGTGTGTGGTGTGCGTGAAACCTTGTGCGGTAGTGCAGCGGTTAGCGCGCATGTGCTACGAACCCGGCGACCCGACTTCGATTCCCGGTCAACACGAGTGACGATTATCTGAACCGGTCCTGGGCCTCCCCTAGGTCGACTCAGCCTCAATGAGTACCTGGTGCGGTGTGTAAACATCGCCACTGGGGAGACAAATGCGGCCTGATGTGGTCCTGGTCACCCACGCCCTCGTGTGCCGTGCCGGCCTTCATAGGTGCTCGCTAACAGCTCTTGCCCCAACAGTCTGTGAAGGCTACACGGGACATCTTTGTCCTTGTTGTGTTGTTACAAAAACACTTTCCCCGTGCCACTCGTGTGCACTCAGTTGGTGGAAACGGAGGTGTTGGGGCGAGGGCATTCACAGCTGGGTATTGGAGAGGGGTGTGATCCGGGGAGAGATTGTTTGTATACCATTAACACCGGCACAATACCGTGTATCATCTCTTCTTACCACTTCTAATTACGAAACGCGCTCACTCCGTGGTGGGCTATGACGGCAGAAGCGTTGGTGGAGGGGGCGGGGTCATCAATGTATTCATTTGTTTACTCGTTCCTTGCTTATTTTTTCGTTGTTAAATTGCTCAAATTGTTTAGCGAGTAGCATCAAATTTGCACTGGAATCCTTCAGCTCCTAAATGGTTTCTCGCCCGCGTGCCAAAGGTTAAACGAGGCGCGGCAATTACGCCAGTGTTGTCTGCTCCTAATTGCGAGATAATTTGATTGAATGTTTTACATTGGCATATTTGAGGAATTAATTTTAATGAAATCAGTCTGAAAGGCTCTGCAAGGAAAGAGATTTGAAAGGATACAAAGCTAAAGAGAGGGTTCTATCCAACGAGTAGAAACGGTGTTAAAAATAAGGCCTATTACAATCATAAAATCACAAACCCACTTAAACAGTCCTCCATATTTTCCCAAGGCTTTAACACAAATAAGAACAATCTTTTATCATTTAAAATCGAGCCTATTGTGCATGGCGGGAGTGGTGGTGCTATTGTTCACGTGCTGCCCAATGTTCTACCGGGTGACGACCTCAGTCGTGATTCCCCGGTCAAAGCGAACATCAGTGGCGAGTGATATCTGAACTAGTCCCAGTCACCCACTTCACCGACCATCCGCTTCACTGATACGCAGTGACCAGCACGGTGAAGTGTGCCACGGGGACGGAGGAAGTTTCGGAATGAAATATGCGGACTGGAGAAGAGGGACAGAATCGAAGCTCACGGAGGGAGAAATCTGACCAGCTGACTCCACACAATTTTCGGACTTGCGGCTGAGGAGAAGCTCCTTAAGTCTATTGATATCTCTGTAAGTCTATGTAAGTCTATGGGTCTCTACGCAAGTCCCCGGGTATGCAAATTACATAACAGTGGATGTAAGAAAAGAATAGAAGCTCGTGGACAAAGAAAAATCCGAGCAGTCGACCGACGCGCAGCAAAGGGACCTGTGGCCCGGAGGACGTCTCGCTACGTGCTCGCCTTAACGCCCCCCTCTGCTCGCTCCTCTGCCACCCCCCCCTCGCTCCCGTAGATGCAATCGTGGAACCGGGACCACGATGACGTCCTCTCCACGCACTCCGGCGGAACTCCGGGGCCCTCGAGCGGCGGCCTCGCCTCGCAGAGCGGCGACAACAGCAGCGAGCAAGGTCCGTTGTGCCGTGCAAAAACGTACACACGCAGACGCGCACGCACGCGCACACGCACGCGCACACACGCGCACAGCTCATGGCCTTCGTTGTATGACAACTTGAATGCACATGATCTCGGAAGCTAAGTAGGTTTGAGCCCGGATAGTGCTTGGATGGGTGACCATTTAATCCTGCGACCCAGAAAATATTTCCACACCCGGCACACCACATCCAGTATACCTCCGACTGGTGTTATGGATGCTACTACCAGCAGTTCTGTGCCACCTACTCCAGTCTACCAGCGATCCGTACAATATTCAGTCAGATTTTAAGCCCTGCCAACCACCATGCACAAACAGGTTGTCATAGGGCTTGTGGGGACTTCGTAGTGGGTGTCAGAGGGGGCACTGTAGCAAACTCCATTGTTGTACTGTACTTCTATGCTCCCCGCCTTCACCACCAGGGTCAGATTTGTTTTGTGCCTTACATTGCATGACAATCACACGGAGATGCTGCAACTGTCAGAGCCGGAATTTTATCATCGTCATCATCATGAGTGAAACGCGATGGGTTTTGTTTGTGTGGTTAGTGGAAGTGGTGACCGGTTGCACACCTGCCTGGCAGCCGGCTTGCTGTGCTACCGTTCTGATGGAGCACCACTCCAACACTCCCCGCCGCCCCCCCTCCTTCTCAAAAAGCTCCAACAGTGCCGCTCAACGGCTATAAAAAGACTTTAATATATTAACTTTTTTGTTTGGATGTTTCTTGTTCTTCTTTTCAAATTTATAACAAGGACCAGCGGATCGACTTGAACCGAATTCGTGTGCTACAGTGAAAGAAAGCTTAAATCCTCCTTGCGCGCCTCATTCAGGGGAGTTGGCTTGACAGAAAAGGAACGTGCATTTAGTTTTAATTAAAATAACTCTCTGCCAATGGCTATGCCTGCGCGGCTGCTAGGGTTACCTGCAAACTGCGTTTTGCCCTTGCAGGGCTGCTGCATTGTTCCCCCTTAAGACCAGCAGCCGACTCGCTCAAGGGTATCTTGCCCCAAAAAAACAATGTGCCGCTGGAAAATCCTCACTTAAAGCGTTTTGAATAGTTTTCGCCCTAAAACTAATAACGGTGGCGCTAAGCTGCCCGAGATGGAATTTCATAGGGTAGACACAACACACCTGAAGGCCGATCGTAGGGAAAGCTCCACCTGGACATTTGAAACCGGTCGGGTCCCATACCTGCCGGTGACCTTACCACGAGCATGGTAGGCCTCGGGCTTCGGAGGCTCGCATTCCCAGGTGTCACTCTGCCATTTAGAAGCCTCCCGCCGGCAACATCGCGGCGATTTTGCTCACGACTCGGCAGGCCCGGCACGGCTTTGCGTCGGCCTTGCCCGCTTTAAGTCACCTCTGCGAGAGAGAGAGAGAGAGATTGAGGTCGACGGCGAGAGTGACACGCAGCGCCGGCGGGGTGCCTTCGTCTGGGTTTACACCGAGTCCGTGAGCTGCGCTGGCCAACTTGGAATTGGAACCGTCTTGGGGTACAGCCACCTGAAATGTGAGAGTCTCTTTCGATTTGAAGCTTTCGTGACTGCAGGGATTCATCTCCTTGGTTCTTTCGGTAAAGTCACCACGTAGAATGGAAACAAAGTAATGAAAAAAAAAGATTTTATTTTATTTTATTATGTTTTATTTTTATTACTTTGTTTCCATTCTACGTGACTTTACCGAAAGAACCAAGAAGATGTGAGAGTCTCCTTTCTGCGTGGGTTTAGGCAGATAAGGGTTTGCCAAGCCCCTTTGTGGGCCCGATGGCTGTCTCACGGCATTGCTGGGGTTGCCACCTGTCCTGTTTTTAATCGGGATCATCCTCTTCTTGTGTAGGCACCTGCTGTGTTGGGGAAATCGATACGTCTTCCCGGGACATTTATTAGTCCTGGAGGTTTTTTTTTCTTTCAGTTGTGTAATAATAATAATAGACTATTCAAGACAATCCATTTACATCTAGAGATATTCTCCTTCCAATGATTGTACGACAAAGGTTTGCAAGTCCAGGCATCGCAATGGATGCCAAGACCCCTGCGTTTTTCCACAGGAGATACATCCTGTGTTCAGAGATGAGCTCTTGGCTACTGGAAGCTGCAGATGCAAACTTAATTGATGACATAATGGAAGCCGACCAACTCTTGCAAGTCATTTACGCTGTCAGCACCAGGGCTATGTGGACAACATGCTTTTAATCCGTAAGAGTCTTGTTTTTTTTAACCCGTGAGAGTCTCAGGTTTTGGTACGTTGCTGGCGTTTTTCTTTTGCTTGCCAGCAACGCACAATTCTCTCGTGGTTTTATGAATACATATTTCACCGCTGTGCGCAAGTCGTCGGAGATGACCCGACGGACGACGACGGACGACGGTGTCCGTGTTACTGGACGCCGAGCGAGACGCGGCCGCGAAGGGGTTGGCCTCCTGGGCGTGCTCGTCGAGCCGCAGGTTTTTGTTGAACTCCGCCAGGAAAGTGACCACCGGCTTCTGTGCCACGGGAATTGTTCCGGCTGCCAAAGCCTGACCGGCTCCGACGCTGTCGCGCACCGACATATTCCGACACGCGATGCCTCGGCAGCCCCGCCGCGCTGTCTCTAAACACGCTTGGCTCATGCGAACCAAGATAAAAAAAAAACAACTACCCCGAGGGGATAATCCCGGCAGCGTGCGGTGGTAAAGACGCCGAGATCACCAATAACTGGCGAGAAAAACCTCAAAATTCCAGCCCGGCGCTCTGCTCTCTAACACAATCCCCACCCGCCCGTACCCCCCCTCACCCACCATCCATCCCGCCAACCCCCCCCCCCAACTGTCACAGTCTCGTCGGCGCATCTCTTGTCTGGTTTCCCTCCCCCCACCCAGTCTCTGGCCTCCACATCCACCGTAGTCAACTCCGCCTCGCTGCCCCCAACCCCCCCCTCCCCCCCCCTAAACGGCCACAGTTAATCCCGTTGTCCATGGGTTCATACGCGGGCTGGAAGATCAAGGTTAGGCGCAGGCTGGATCACGCAGGCTCTCACCTGCCTTCAGGGATCTGATCCCATTGTTTTTGCTGATCACCGTGTTCGGATTAGCCGCGGCCTCCATACCGCCGCGGCTTAGCAGGTGGAGCGGCCGAGCTGCGAGCCGATCGGCCCGGGGGCTTGCGGAGGCGGGAGGTTGGGGGGTTGAGGCTTACGCGCCAATCGCGTCTTGAGGCGTGCGTTTCTCCTGGCTCGGGATTTACCGCGACCATTCCTCCGAAATGCCGAACGTGTCCCGCAGGTTCTTGGCTCCGTCGAGCGCCGCCGCCGTCGTCAATGTCCCCGAGTTGTTTTTATGGCGGAGGTTGATTTTTAGCGGCGAGGGCCCGCAAAGCGTGGCTCGTCAAAGCGCCGTAACCTCGGTGACTTGTCGCCGAGGTTACGGCGCCGAAACTCCCTTTGAGCAGCCACTTAAATAAACTTCTGATAAAAAAAATATCGGCATCGGCCATGATCAGTCCACCGCTGGGTGAAGGCCTCTCACGATGCCCACCGCCATCTCTTACGGCCTTGCGATGTAGTGACCCATTCGAGCACCTGCACACAGAGCTGAGTTCTTTGTTCGATTTCTAGTGAACATTTTGCCGGACAGGTTTCCCTCCCTTGGCTGCCACTCTGTGTTGGTCTCAACCGAAACTGAATTTTTTTTCTTTCTATTTTACCAAGTAAGGTCCACTGAGCTACATAGTTTTTTTTCAGAAGCGACCTGCCCACAAATGATAGTGGAACGAAGTGGCTTATCATGTAGACATTTATAGCAGCCAAATCATTTGAACGTACGTTTCTAAATGTAGAGGGAAAAATCGGATGACCCGGAGAAAAATCCACGCGATTATGGGGAGAAAATGCAAACTCCAAATATACAGGCGTCAGGGTCGGGATTGAACCAACGACCTCCTGCATACCAGGTGAGGTAGTTAACATCTCGTAAAGTGCGCACCCAACCACCAGCCATCATCCCTTCTGGCCATGATACGTTCTGTGCGAGCCCCGCTTACTTTATTAACAGCAACTGCATGATGACTCTAACTCGCATAAGTCCTCCAATGTATCTGTTCCTCTTTCTCTCCCTCAAGTGTAGCAGTAGCTACTAATCGCAAAGTTACATTTTGAGATGGGGACTTGATGCATATTTGTACTGATTAAATTATAGCTATTGATAAGGCCCAAAAGGTCAAAACCCAATACAGAGTTAACTTTTTTAAACAATTGCTGCTGGATAAACACTCGTCTGGCAAGGTCATGTGCTGATGGAGTAAATACTTGTTTTTTTGTACTTGGAGGAACAGCCATATGTCTATTTATGTATCTTAGTACACACGCACACATTGCTACAGCGTCATTTATCATTTTCAGTTTAGCATAATATTCGTGAGCAAAACAAATAAAATGACATTCTTAGAAATTCAGTATTTCTTTAAACAAATATAGTGTATGATGCATAATTATTTATTTTGGGGTAGATTGTGTGGGTATGATGTCAGTTTTTGTATTTAACCATACATTGGTTGTCCGTCCTCCGCACCTCCGGTTAGCACGGTTGGTTATGTACGGTGCGAAAGAAGTTCAATGTACATACGTACCCGCGGGAGCCAATGAAATGAAGTTGTCGCGACATTTTGACAGTGTTGCTTGGGATTTTCAACATTCTGGCAGTTTGTTGAAAAACTAAAACAACAATTGGCACGTTTTCCCACGACGAGACAACTTGATTTGGTTTGACTGGAGGGTTATAGTTTAAAAAAATTAATGTATGAATATTATACCTACACGATCTAACTACCCCCCCCCAAAAAAAAAAACAACCTTATTTCGAATCATAATATTGGTTGAAAAAGTATTTGCAAAATGCAAAACATTAAAACTTAACCTGAACGCGTGTCCATTAATCCGATTGTAAATTCTCAATATCCAATCTCCGTTCGCCGTGCCACATGCAGACCCATGTCGCGCGCTTGGGG